TTATATCTCATGTCAATTTCATTCCACACTGAGGATCCCCCCCCTTTGTTTGCATGCAGCACTGAATTGTATTTTATTTTTTTTGCACTGGGGACACAGCTGTTTGCCTCCTCTTTGATCCTTCTTTCAAGTCAATACCAGCAGGGAACGAAACCTTTTAAACCGCCCCCCCCCCATTATTTAAATTCAGCTCAGACTAGTGCCACTTGTCAAAAATATTTTTAAATTTAAAAATGAAAGGGAAATGGAGCTTGTACACTGATGAAGGGGGGAGGATGGCGGAAGGTGCAGAGTGGGTAGAATGACCTTGATGTGGGTGGGGAGTGACTTTCTTTCTTTCTTTCTTTCTTTCTTTCTTTCTTTCTTTCTTTCTTTCTTTCTTTCTTTCTTTCTTTTTTTTCAGATTCAAAACCAATAAGAGTTCTTTATTATATGAGTGACAGGGGTAGAATCTATTCTAACTACCTAAGATGGATAGAGATGCAGGGAAGAGTGCCCCCGCATCCATTGTTCAAAGATGGAGAGAAAATGTGCTCCTTCTATGTGTATGTTTCAAGGGGCAGCAAAAGGGCAGGGGAGAAACCCAAGGGAATCTGTATGCTTTTGAATTATCTCTGTCTTGGAAGTGAAACAAGGGAAAAATAAGCACAAAAACATGACGACCAAAAAGCAAACTGAACACTGAATGGAAGAAAACCAATGCAGAATGACAAAGAAAAACTGATGGACGTGCACAGTGAAAGTGAGGGGAAACAGCCATGCATAATAGGCCAAGGAGAAAGACACCGATGGAAAACAATGGCAAGGAACCGTCACAATCACAGGAAATAATGATGGCATAGCTCAGGCCACAAAGGCTTTTAAAATTCACATTTAGCTCTTTGTGCATTCCCTTGTCAGCCACATCTGCCTCCGGGGTCTGAATGTTCCGATGATTATCTTTTCTTCTGATACCTCTTTGGCTCTCCCCACCACCTTCCTATTTTGCATCAAGTGATCTTATATCTAAAGATGGGTGGTCCAATCCAGTGTTGGAAATTCATGAGCAGAAAGTGGTGATAATACAAGCCACTCAGCAAGTTCTCTCCAGCATTGACAGCTACTGGGTGTTCTTAGATCTCCTGTGAGGGAAGCTAAGAGGTAATGGAGGGCTTACATGTGAAAATACCCCATTGTGCTAGAGTTGTTGTTGTTCAGTCGCACAGTTGAGTCCGACTCTTTGCGACCCCATGGACCAGATCACGCCAGGCCTTCCGGTCTTCCGCCGTCCTCGGAAGTTGGCTCAATTTCATGTTCGTTGCATCTATGACACTGTCTAACCATCTCATCCTTTGCCGTCCCCCGTGGGCTCTTGCAATAACCCAAAGGAGCAGCTGCTGCCATGTCCTAGTAACATTTTTCTGCAAGCTTGCAAGGAGGAGGAAATGGCCATCCTATGGGGGTAAACATAAACCTGAAACAAAGCACATTTTGACACTTTAGCAGTAACAATTCAGTAGCACCATTAAAAGGAGAACTTTGCATTTCTACAGGTCAAGGGGGTACAGTTATAAGGAGGGAAGAATATGATTTAAGGTACACAGGAAATTTTTATGATAACTCACTATATTTTTCCACTATAGGAACAATAAATTGTATTAAGGTGGTCACGTATGTTTATGGTCAAAACTAGATGAGTGACAACACATTCCTCTGTCTTTCAAACACATGAATATATTGATACAGCACTGGATATAATTTATTTCTATAGCTACTATGAAAAACAAGGTACACAAGTACTTCTTTTACAACTTAGTTTTAGATTAAGGCATGAATGATGTATTAAAATATGTTAACTAACTACCCTCAACTACCCTCACACATTGCTTTGTGTGCAAAGTGATAAATCTGCAGATCTTTTTCCTGCACTCAAGTGAGTGGAGGAGGCTGCATGTGCTAACCTCCACATGTTTCCTGGAGCATATGGAGGGCTCGAGATTTGGGTAGCAGCTTGTGGACTTTCCTTTCACCATCAGACACATCCACAACTGAGGGTCCTTTCGGCTTTGGCCCAGCCGCTTCACTCTTTCTGGGGTTACTTGTACTTGTCCTCTGCTCTTCCTCAGTAGCATATTGGACACCTTCCGACCTGAGGGGCTCATCTTCCGGCGTCATATCTTTTAGCCTTTTGATACTGTCCATGGGGTTTTCTTGGCAAACATACTGGAGTGGGTTGCCATTTCCTTCTCCAGGTGGATCACGCTTGGTCTGAGTTCTCTGCTGTGGCCTGTCCGTCTTGGGTGGCCCTTCACGGCATAGCCCACAGCTTCATTGAACTGCGCAAGCCCCCTCGCCACGACAAGGCATTCCTCCCAAAAATGTATTAGGCATTGGGTAAAATTATAGGTATGCTAATACTAACTATATCTATATTTTGGGCACCTTCAATCTATATTGCACTACTTTATAAAAATCCAAGTGGGGAGCCTGCAAGGACTTGTAGGGCAGCTCATTTTCTCATCTATCCCCCTCCCCATGCAAACAGAACAATAACATCACAAACCACCAGAGCAAAGGGTAAATGAAATTTCTCATGCGTGCAGAAGAGGGGTGCACATAATACTTATAACCCAGGACTCCAGGTGCCTTTGCGACACAGTGCTTGTTTACACCTGTACAACTGGGTGTCTACAGATTACTGTATGCTTAATGACCGACAGCTAAATATGAAAATTAACTCAATTGAAAAGCTTTTTTTAAGGTGTTGTGAAGCAGAAAGAAGCTACATCTGTGTAGTGTAATATTTGGGACTGCCCATCCATTGCTGTGGATTAACATCTCCTAAGTCCAACCTTCCAGAGGATGAACCCATGAAAATTAACACAGTATAACAGGGAAGAACTGCTATATAATTTCCCCCATTGTAGGATGAAACCTCTAAATGAATATAATAAGATACTGAGGGATCTTTCTGTGTATAGCTGTTAAAGCATCTTAAACGATGTCACAAGCCACTAGTGTATTGAGCTTTGTTTCCACATTTGCTTTGTTTCCACACTCTCTAGATGCAGCAAACATGGCCTTTTGGCCTCTGTGTTTGGTTTAGTCCCTTGAGGAATCCAGCCACACAGTTAATGATGCACATCAAAGAAACAGGAAACAACTGACTATCCAGTGGTGGTTACTTAACCCTTTTTTGGCTTAAGTCCTACCTCTGTTAAAAATGGGAATAAGATTATGCCAACTTTAGGAATGTTTCTAAAATTCAGTTTATTTAATTCAGAGAATGGCTGCAACCTTAATAACCATGTATTTGTTAACTGAACTGTGTTCACTGTTACTTTTACAAGCAAACCGAAAAACCAACTGACAATCTGGATTGATGTCCATATATTTACAAAGATTTATTTTGAGTCAGTTTAGGGAGAGAAGATAACAGTTCTTTAAAAGCACATTAAATTATTAGCCACCAGTAAGATGTCCTACAGTACGTTTGATAATGTGTTCCATTTGAACTTAGTGCAATATAGTCTTGATGGCACAACACAAGAGTATATTCTTCAAGAAGCAGCTGTACCAGTCTCCCCCCTACCCCTCCACCCCGGTGCTCACTGCAGCTTTGCTGTGGGGAGAGTTAAGGGATTTATATTGTGGATTCAGCAAGGGAGGAAAGGAATTCCCCTGAATCACTTCCTCAGTCTTCAAAGCTGCCACATGTTCTACCATATTTTTTAAAGTTGAGAGAGATCCTACTCACATATCTCCCTCGCATACCTAGTTTGGCCCTAAGACTACAATACAGAACATGAACTTCTGATGGCAAGATCATTTGCCTTCTTGGGCCCAAGAAATACTACACATTTTAATACTGCCAGTATATTATTAAGTCCATGAAAATGACTTTCTGCCATCTGGAAAACACATAGCTAGCTTCTTGTAACAATATGGACTTTTTAATTTCATCCTTCCCTCAACTCAAACCAGTGGTCAAGGCTCTGTGAACAGGCTTGCCTGTTGTCCCTTAGTTCAAAGAACAGTTCCTTATTTCAGATTAAAATGTAGAGTTCCTACATTTTATAAAATGCACCACAACTGCAAAAAAGCAAATTTAATACATTACAAGAACTGTCTATTCTAATAAAATATAGCTCACGCTCAGTCAAATGTAAGACATCCTTTCCTCATGATCTTGTCCGTTCCCTTCAGGGGGAAACTGCTTTTGTAAATGTGTGATTAATTCAAATCAGATTATGATGATGATGCAGTGTATTAGAGGGAAAAGTAGATAGTTCCAGAGTCCAAGGTGTGTGGGTAAGCATTTATGAGAAACTAAAGGAATCTGAATTTGTCGTTGATATGGTGTCAGACAGAAGACTGAGGTGGACTATGTTCTTTGATTTCAGTCAGATAAATTTCATAGACAACACATTGAGCTAACAACACTCACAAATTATTGGCTTAAATACAAAACAATAATAAACTGGGTCTAATATTTCAGCACAATTCTGCAAATATCAATCACAACTAATTCTTAGAGAAATCAAGTGGACTTTGGCTAGGTGCAACTAAGTCCTGTTCATTTGCTTTCAACAGAAAGGAGCCATGGCTAATTTTTGCAGGACACTGCCCATTGTCTTTCATCTGCGCTGTAAAGTTTTAACATTGTGCCACTGCAATGAATCAATGTTCAACTGCAGCTATACCTAAATAAATCTTAAAATATAAAGATGGAATTTGGTCTAAAGAAACTTATTAAAATGAAAATAAATCTATTTTCACCATTTCAAATAGTGCCCGGACCAGAGAAATTCAGCATGCCTCAAATGAGTTGTACAATTTTTCATTACAAAACTTAACTGGATTGAAATCAGTCAAAGCCACATGTACATAAGAGGGAGAACTCTGCAGGCATCTGCTGTTGTTTCTGATATTTGAAAAAGCAACTGAGAGGCTCGAATCAAAACTTTAAGCTCTCCTGGGTGCACCCTTATCACCACAACCTTGGATAATAACAACATGATGGAGCTGATCAATACGATCCAGATCATGAAATTATTAACTCTGTGAAGGGTTCACTGCCGCTGAGAAGCAGAGCAAGGGAAGTTGCACGGTTGTATGGCTACTCCCTACTGCTACTTTCTGTAACAACAGAAGTCCAGTCTCATTCTGCTCATGCAGCTCAGATCACCTGTGGAAAGATGTTGTCAAAGCAGACCAAAGCAAAAAGGCGGCAGTGATGTATACAGCCCAAAACAACAGCTGGATGTCTGCCTACTGCAGCCCATATTCAAAGTGGCCCGTTCTTGGCCCAGAAGAGTTCATTTGCCTTTAACATCTGCTGGGAAGCCACAGAGCTCTCCTTGCCATGTGGCTATTAAAATCAAAAAAAGCACCCTGTTAGTCCAGGATTTGACATGGTTTCCTATTAGGAGTGATTCCTCCCATCAGACAGAAGACCAGTAGGGTTGAATAAACCAAAGTTAGCATCTAGCTTGCCATTGCATTCATGTGTATATAACGAAGATTCTGCCTTTGTTGATCAGTCACTTTGCAAGCATATAAAATAATCTGGTGTTTTTTGTGACAAAAAAAGCCATTAGCTACTAGCAAGGTGACAAGAGGTTGTGATGAGGCGACTCCCTCCACAGCTCTCAGTGGTTGTAGGTTCTAGTCTAGGCTGGGCATGCACAGCTGCCATTTATTTTGCACCTAGATTTTGTAAATACACAACACGTATAAATACATCAATCATACACATTTATACACAACACAGCACTACCAATATTAAGGGATGCAGTGCCTACTCTATCATAACTGTCTCTTGATAATAAGCAATAAATGCTATTTTATTTATATATATATATAAACACACCCTTCTTTAAAAGTGGCAGTAGAACAACCAAAGCTTAAGTCTAAGCCTGAGTTAGTTTCAGTTGGTAGAGGTGAACCAGTTCCACTGTATGGTCAGCAAAATAGAAAACACATGAATGAAACTGCCGAATGTGCCAAAGACTCCTTTTTTATGACGCCTTCTTCTTCACGAAGAACATGGATATCCTTTTCACATGTACAATGTGAACAGGAAAACTGTTAATGGAAATACCCAAATATCACTTTGCCCTTTCAAAAAAAAAAAAATTGCCTTATTCAGATGGAGCTTCAATGGATCTCACAAAAGCACACTAATGAGAGAAGTCGTCGTCGACCCACTGGCCCTCCCACCTAGGAGGCATGGGGAAATACAAGCACGTCCTTTGCCAGTCTGTCTGTACCACTAGTGGTCTTGGGAACAATGGCCTCTCCTCAAACTCACATCGTCCAATCCGATCTCACCGGTTCTTCCTTTTCCTTTCTCACCTTTAAAAATGACCTGGAGAAAGAAGGGTTGAAAGAAGGTTAAGTGGTAACCATGAACACACAGTGTTCCCAGAACTTAGAACCAAAACGGCCTCATTCTTTCTGCAGGTTCCCAGCACAAATCCCAGGAGACCTGTATCCCTGGCTTTATCACTTTGCCCTTTCAACGAACCTTTTAGAGACCAAGTGCCCAAACTGCGACCCAAAACCCACTTATTTATTGCAAAGTGCCAACACGGTAATTTAACCTGAATACTGAGGTTTTACTTTAGAAAAAAACAACTCATACATTAACTTAAGATGATCCAAACAAAGTACGGAAAGCAATCCCAAATGCTTTCATTTACTTAAAATTATTTGGCAGAGAATTCGACACTTTAATGATGGTCTGGGCCTGGCTGGGGCGATGGCACGCGTGCCCACAGAGAGGGCTCTGAGTGCCACCTCTGGCCCCCGTGCCATAGGTTCGCCACCACTGGCCTAGGATGGCACACACACTGATTGTTTTAAATAATGGTTTCACATCTGCTTTCCTCCCCATAGTTTATTATTATTTTCTTTATTTTTAAAGTGTAGCAATATGCACACAAGTGCCCAGGGATAAAGAAACTGCAGCAGCTGATATGAAATGCAGTCGTTTATGAGGACTACTCTTTCAAATTAATTTTTAAGTGCCCTTGTATGGTCCTCCATTTTATTTTTTGCCATCAAGTCACCACTGACTTACGGCAACCCCGTTGTGTTTTCAAGGCAAGAGACGTTCAGAGGTGGTTTGCCACTGCCTGCCTCTGCACAGCAGCCCTGGACTTCCTTGGTGGTCTACCCAAGTACTTCCCGGGGCTAACCTCGCTTAGCTTCCAAGATCTGACGAGATCGGGCTAGCCTGATAAATCCAGGTCAGGGCCCTCTTTTTAAAATTTAGATGTTGTTATCCATGGCTCTTGGGTAATGGATTGACACAATTTCCAGTTTAATAAATCAATAATGGCAGAGGGGCAATATCCTGTTTTCCTCTTATTGCCCTGTGGATGCAAAGGTCTTCACAGTGGCAATGGAACCTCCACACGGAGATGTCCTCCAAGATTTCATCTCCTGCCGGCTATTCCCCGCCCTCTTGCCATCAGCAGGCTTTTTGCTGTGCTTTTATTTTCCAGTAGGTATCACTACAACCACTACTGATATATTTTTTGCCAAAAAGCCCACCAAAGGTGAGTGCGGAAAAATGGCAAGCGGGAGGTGTTAGACATTGGAGGGGAGATGTGGCACCTTCCCATCCACCTCTTCCCCAGACCCATGTTCAGCATAGTCTTCCAGGAGAGGCTGTACCAAAGCAGATGTGGGGGAACCCTGCAGCAGGGGGGAAACGATCGTGTAAAAGCCAAAATACAAACCACTGTGGTTTGGATGAGTGGCACGGATCCAATTATTCCCTTCTGCTAAGTGAGGAGTCTTGCTCCAGTGACTTTTTCCTCTAGACCAATTATTCCTTTCCAGTAGATAGAACAAGACTCCACACTTAGCTGAAAGGGGTCATTGGATCCAGCATTAAATATATGCAACAGATAAATACAAAAACGTTTTTAAAAAAACAAACCTTAAAATCAACTCAACAGTAAAAAAACAACATAAATTAGTAATTTTAGTACAGATTGCAGCTAGGGAGAGAGAGAAAAAATGATACTAAAAGGAAACACATACATATACGGAAACCTGAGTTTGCCTGAGCACAGAAAACCATTTACAAGTCTTGAAGAAAACAAGAGCATCACAGTAATTGAATACTTTGGCATACATATACTTAGAAGAGTATATTTGTATTCTTAAACGTAACAGTTTGCTAATGCTGCCTTCTACCAGAATCTGCTAACTATTGAAATCTGTTGTATACTTCCAATAGTTTTCTCAGGAAGGATCTTTACTATCAGAAACATTTATCATCATCTGCTAAGTATGTTTTTTTAAGTATGATGGCTCCTTTTTGTTTTGTGATAGTGGCATCTGGAGACATTCTGTTTCACTGAGACATTCACTTCCTGCAAAAACTAATTATTCCCAACAGTGATCAAGTGGAAAGTCATTTCTGAAGCAGGATGGGAATTGTATCCATGATAGGGCAACACATGGCTCGCAGACAGCCATGTGTGCCTGTTAAAACTGAAAAACTTATTTTAATGCAACATCCTTGCATGATAAAAATACTTTAAGAGTTTAAAAGAATCCATAGTAGGTGAATTCATCCCAAGTGCAGCTCACCGTAAGTGCAGCTCAATCGTCCCTTCTTACAAGGTTATGTTTATCTTGCTTTACCAATTCATGAAGAGCTGAGATTGATCAATGCCTGCTATCATGGGATCATTTAGTCTTGACTTAATCCTGATTTCATCTGTTCTCTGCCATGTAAGGATGCCAAGTCTCCCCTGGCCTGTGGCCGGGGGCAGGGGGGCAGAGTTGCCTGGCTCCAGGTTGGTAAATTCCTGGATATTTAGTGGGGGAGGCTGGGGAGGACCGGGCCCTCAGTCGGGTACTATGACATAGAGCCCACCCTCCAAAGCATCCGTTTTCTCCAGGGGAACTGATCTCTGAAGATGTGCTGTAATTCCGGAAGATCCCCAGGCCCCGCTTAGAGGCTCACATCCCTACTGTCATGTAATGTAACACCATGTAACACATCCATGTCTTCAAATGCTGGACCTTCCAAGCCTCACTTTGTAGTATACCTCTCCCTGCCATACACCCTTCTTCTGTTTGTGCCTATGAGTTGTAGCCAAACATCAAAGTATTTAGTGGCATTTTAAAGGCAAATACATTCGTTGTGGCTTTTGTAAGACAGAGGCTGCTTTGTTGGCTATTTCACCCTGCTCTAATATAATAAGAACATAAGAAGAGCCCTGCTGGATCAGACCAAAAGTCTCTCTAGTCCAGCATCAGCCTTAAGTAGTGCCCAACCAGTTGCTCTGTACAGCCAACAACAGGGCATAGAGGCTGAGGCTTTCCACTGATGTTGCCTCCTGGCTCTGGAATCCAGAGGATTAGTGCCTGTGAATGTGGAGGTTCCCCTCAGCCACCATGGCTAGTAGCCATTGATAGACATCCTCTATTAATCTATCCAATCTCCTTTTAAAGCTGGTTATTTCTGTGGCCATCACTATATCCTCTGGTAGCAAATTCCACATTTTAATCAGTCTCTGTATCAAGTAGTGTTTCCTTTTGTTTGTCCTGAACCTACTGCCCATCAGCTTCATCAGATGCCCTCAAGTTCTAGTATTTGGAAGAGGGACAAAAATGTATCTTTGTTAACTCTCTCCACCCCCTGTATAATTTTCTAAACTGAAAAATTTCAGACTCTTCAGCCATTCCTCATCAGGAAGGCACACTATACTTTATGCACCTGACAAAGCTTATGCTACAATAAATGCCTTTGATTTTAAGGTGCCATTAAGCCTTTTGTTGTTCGGGGCTCCAACCAAGTAATATGTCTATCCTTCTGACTTTTTCACTTGCTGTCACTCCAGCCAATTTGCCTGTGAGCACAGAGATGCAATTCCATGATCCTCTTGTAAATTCTGTGCAAATGAGATTCATTAGAATATACAGTATTCAGAGTATATGCTGCCTTATATTACGTTAATGTTCCCTTTGGTGCTAAACAGACTACTATGTAGGGTTGCCAGGTCCCTTCGCTGTGCTGGCAGGGGGATTTGGGGGGTGTTCCAGGGGTGAGCAAAGATGTCAGTGTGTTGGTGACACTCTGTTTTTTGGGCAAAACTCTATGGTAAAAATGGCCTCAAACCACAGAGTTTTGCCCAAAAAGTTTAGTAGAGCACTTCTGGGTGACGTCAGCGTGTCGTGCACAGCACTGGGGGAATTTCCTCCTGCCTGCCAGCTGGCTGGTGGCGGGCAGGAGCCCACAAAAGCAGGGGATCCCCCGCCCCCACCTGGGGAATGGTATCCCTACTACTGTGGGCTGCAAGTACAAATGAGTGGAGGAACAGGAGGCAAACTTAACAAATAAAAACCATTTGACACAAGATGGAAGTAATTTTATATAATTTTTAAAAATATTACTATTGAGCTATTTCAGCTTGTCTAACTGCTATTTTCTCCCTAATTTTAACATTAAATAAAACTTTCCATCCAGGTTCACTTGTCTGAGACATATCTTCATAATAATATCCTTAACCTTCATATATCACTTATAGAATGTTCAGAGCACTTTATGTACATTGTCTTGTTGTAGAAGTGGATCCTTCCCGAATCCTACCACACTAGTGGACAAAGTTTGAAGCCTTCCTCCACAATGAGGAGTCTTCCCCCAAATTAAGTGGCTCTTCCTCCAAAGGAAAAAAAAACTTCAAAGTTTGTTTAGTAGAGTAGTCGGATGAGGTAGACTCCTTTTAGGATTACCATCCCCCCCCCATCATAGATAGAGGATAAAAGGGGGCGTGAGATCAGAGCACAGGCAAGTTTAAAATCAGGAGCTCCCAATATTGTATCTCAGGCTGTTAAGAGGCAAATACCATGATGTGAAAAAGACCATGGGCTTTTGTCAGTCTGTAAATTGCACACCTTGATGCTGACTGGAGAAATGCAAGAACAGCAGGGGTGCTTCCAACTCCACATAGTTTCACTAATCTCAGCCTAGCTCCTCACAATGTTGTGTGTGTTATGCGCTATCAAGTCACTTCCGACTTAACAGTGACCCTATAAAGTAGTGACCTCCGCAGCATCCTATTGTTAGCAGCCTTGCTCAGGGCTTGCAAAGGGAGGGGCCCTCCTGGCTTCCTTTATTGGGTCAGCCCATCTCCTGTTGGGCTGCTCTTCTTTTCTTATTATCTTCCACCTCTCCTAGCATTATTGTCGTTCCCACAGCGTTACTAGATGGTGCATTAAAGGCCACAATTCCCTCTCCTTTTAAAACTCTAACAACTGTGCAAAGTTGTTTTCAATATGGCAAAAATCATCAAGGGTTGCTCTCTTCTCCCTTCACTGGGCAATTCATGCTCTCTTTTTAAAAACTGAGATCTCTAGGATTCAGAGATCCTGATACACAGTGAGCAGTGGAATGGTCACTGCTGGGGGACTGGGGCACAGAACCTACCATTTGGAAGTCCCTTTGCTACTGCACTGTGTCAGAGGCCCCAACAGCAATGGGAAACTAAACAAGCCTGTCCCCATGTGGAGAAGACCCCTAAAGTGACTTCCCAAAAAAATCAGAGAACAGATGGTGTATTGCTTGGATATATCATTGTTATTTCTGAAGAGTGTTAGTTAAGAGAGTGGAAATGACGACACAAAGATAATACATACAACAGATCTGAGGTGCCAGATGAAGTATGAATTTTTGGAGTATGTTATAAAAAAGTGCAAAGCAGATAGTCTACTTGAAGACACCTCAAGTTCACCATCCAAGAATCGTAGGTATTTAAAATTGCTGGTCACCCCTAACATATTTATAGCTTAACAAATGATAATAGTACCCAGGAACTAAATTGTACTAACGCTCTACTTTCTTCATATCGTGCATCCCAATATGGTACTCACACTTTTGATGCCAGATCCTTGCAAGGTAATCTGTGTTTGCCGCCAGCCATGACCACTGTTCCTCCCCCAAATTGCTGGACCGTGAGCACCGATCTTTCTCACAAAGACTTGGAGCAATCCTGAATGCAGCCCAGACACTTTATGCCTGAAGGACAGGCACAGATTCCCCAGATGAGCTAAATGGCCAAGAGGAAGAACCAAGCGTGCAACTCGTCCTGCTTTGCCTTTGGGCTCTGAGATAGATAAATACTGTCCGCCTGTTAAAAACAGAAAACATCTGTTTCGTTCTTATCATTATCATTCTTAGCATTTTTCTTTAGTTTAAAACATGAAATTTATCACTGGCATACCAACTGTCATTCTGATACTTTAGCAGGGATGGGAAAGCTACATTGGGTTAGGAGTTGTCTTCTGCTGCTTAGAAAGTATACATATCAGTTGTCGGGAGATGGGGGGAAAAGGGATGCCTTAAGACAGTTACTGCCTGCTCCTATCAGATAGTCATCTCACCGACTCTGGCCACAAGTCAATGTGCACTGGATTACAGCACACGATTTTTAAAAGGACCATGCATGTAAAATAAACAAACCCAAAATCCTCAAACATGGAATAAGGCACCAGCTCTTTCCACTGCCTCTACACACTGCCATAACGTTACAGTGCTGCCAGACATGTGGGATTTATTCAAAGTCATTTGTGTGCCTCTTCCTTTCTGCGAAGTTATCTGCTTAAAAGCCATCATCCGCTAAATGAAAACCAGAAGACTGGCACCGTCTAGAATAGCCAAAAATCAAAAGGGTGTATAATACCAATAAGCTTTTTCACTGATCCTTTCATGTATGAAGTCAAAACTCTGATAAACGGGATCTCCATGCTTTATAAACATCCCATTGGTATACTAATGAGGAGTTCTTTATTTTCAGCTTCTTTTATTAGGTGTTCTAAAGTCAGAAAAATACCCAAGAGGAGAAGTATTTTTTATGAAAAGCAAAAAACACACATAAAAAACTGGTGCCCTAATCCAGCAAGAGATGTATGGTGCAGTATTTGGCATGCACTGGCAATGCGTATCTAGATGTAAATCTTCATTTCCAATTGCAAATACTCTTTGAGCCAATTAAACTGGCTAGATGCATCTTTTGATGAAAATGAGACTAAGCATTCGGATCCAGAGATGCCAGATGTTCTCACGACTAACTGCTCTTGACTACAGTTGCTTAAGGGTCTGCATCTTTCCAGACTAAAATGTGCTGCCCCTGTTACACTAGTGTTAGGACAAAGGGATCGAGAAGAGTTCACTGTTGGTTAAAGATAGCTGAGCAAAAGAAATCAATATGCAAAGAACTGATTTTTGGACCGAATGTCTACATACTGTTAAGACATCTCTGCATGGTCTTTTCCATTTGAGAAGGACTTTTACTTTATTCTCTGATCTTATGACTACAGTCTTGAGCAACAGCAGTTCAGCAACAAAGCAACAGTAAAAGAAATAACATCATCTGAGAGGGAGGCTACAAGCAGATTATACTTCAAAAAATCTGCATGCATATCAAAAACAAGAGATAGTAAATGAAAATCAAGAAGCCAAGCTAACCTTAAATTCCAAATCAAAAATCTGGCCAGCTACTAATAAAATTCCCAACCATTTTTTTAAAAAAGCCCTCCTAGATAATACTGTCTTGTCTAAAACTGTGATTTTAAAAAGTAATTCTGTATTCACCATTTTTCAGAAAGGAAAGGACAGAACAGGAAAGGAAAGGATGAATTTTTCATGGATTTCCCAGAACAGCACAAAGGTGGTACAACTATTAAACATCCAACTGAAAAGATATATAACTGCTGTGATGTTTAGCAACATTCCCCACTGGAAAATCTCCATGTCATCCCTATGTCTCTGAGTCTGGCTGATGGTTCCAATGACTTATCTAATCTCTATTATCAGGGAGCAAGAACCTTTTACATTCCAATATACATCCAAAGCTTTGCTCTCAAAATAGAGTCTTCGATCCAGTGATGAACCAGCAGAAACATAAACAGACTTTTTGCAATTTATTTTATTTACAGTGTTTCTGTGCTGCCACTCCAGAAACCTGCCCAGTGTGGCTCACAAAATAAAAAGACTAAAAACAAAACATTAAAAAATAAAATCCAGCATTACAAATAGCCCAGCCCAACTTATAAAAACATAGATCATAAAAACAGACTACAGTCAGCCAAAAACAATAGATTTCAAGCTAAAATACTGCTAACAATATTCTGTTTGTGCAAGATCTTGTGCAGCACCTACCCCTTTTCTCCCTATAGACTGCAGTGTCCAGAAATTGGTTTCACAAGGTCTTGTGCAAGTGGAAATACAGACAAGGATACAATATGTTTGACTTGGTGCAAGCCGCTACTGTAGGCTTTTTCTTGCATTTCCGCTGGTGCAAGAGCTCTAGCATAACGGGAAAGTTTGCAATGGATTCAACCCAGGGTGTGAGAGAGACAGAGACAGCAATCCTAAGTAGGTCTGCTTAGAAGCAAGTCCCGTTTAATTTAAATGAGGATTACTCCCAGGAAAGTGTTTTTAGGATTGCAACCAGAGTGACTGGTTTCCAGGTTCTTTTGTTTCTAATCTCCCTGTGTTTTTCACAGTAATCTGTCTGCAGCATTGGCAATAAATGCAGAAAGAAACAAGGACCTGATGTTTGATTCACAAAGGTGCCTTCTTGGGCACATACACCTAGCAAAATGCCAGTAGAGAGGTTTCACATGGCATGGGGATCATGTGTTTCCCCATATCGAAATGTTTTCTTTGTAGAAAATATGTAACAAGCTGCATCGCTGTCTGGCAAAACCCTAGTACAGGTAGGCTTGTGAATGTGTTTCTCCCAAGGTAAAGCTATTTACCTTATACACATGTAACCCTGCAGGTTTGGCCCTCTATTGGAGTTTGTGGGGAAGGTTTTTTTGTCCCTGTGGAGGAGCTATAGGACAGGGCTGAGGAAAAGGACAGTCCTGAGAGAAAAAGGAGTTCTGAAGGGGGGAAAAGGAGAGATATCTGAGGTACTGCTTTCCCCATCGCTTCATTTCCATGCTTGGAAAAGCCTGCTGGTTTTCAAGACACAGATGAATTTTGGAATCCCTAAGTAAAGATATGGTTTTAGCAAACAAGTAGTACAACTGATGAAGCTGCTCTGCTTAGACATGAGCTCCTTGCCATTACAATTCCTGCAGTCAGCAGATGAATATTCTTAGAGATAACTTCCAGCCTCTGTCTAGAAAGGCATATCCATAGCTTGCACATCCTTGATGGACATTTCCTGCCTGTGGAACCTCTTTTCCTGGCAGAGATTCAACAGAACCGCAAGCCAGATCAACTCTTCTAGATCAATGTACAGTGATTTGATCCAGGCAGCCACTTTGTGCCTCTGGGATGAACCCCCACCCCGGGGGGGTGTCTTTTAGTGGCAAATCAGAAATCTGTGTGCTTGACTCAACATTTCTAAATGTCTTGGCCCATTCTAGGCCTTCAGTCATACAAAACGTTAAAAAAACAAAGACACTAATGAATACCTGAGGCATCTTTAACAGTTTCCCAATGCAAATCTTCATCTTTCTCCTTCATCCATCCACAGAGGCCACTTTCAAAGTTACAGCTGTGAACAAAAACACCTGGAAGGAAGAAATCGAGGCTCAAAATGGACAAAGGACTCAACCACTGTGGCTGATGAACTCTTCAGCAGCAGGCAGGTAGACTGGAATTTATAACATTTCTGAATTTTTTTTTAAAAAAATCCAATTAAGTTTTCAAGAGAAGGGGGATACATATAATGCATCTTTAACAATGGTAACTGTAGAACAAAGTTTGAGTCCAGTGGCACCTTTAAGACTAACAAAATTGTATTCAGGGTATAAGCTTTCATGTGCAAGCACACTTCTTCAGATACAGATTATCCGTATCTGTAGAAGTGTGCTTGCACATGAATGCTTATACCCAGAATAAGGTGCCACGGGACTCAAACTTTGATCTGCTGCTTCAGACCTACACAGCTACCCACCTGAATCTATCTTAAAGGTAACTGTAGATAGGTTCACACTTTAAGTAGCAAATACAATCCGGATATGTTGCCCATACTTTATATTTACAATCAATCAGGATCAGCACCAGAAGTTGGCACGAATGGGTATCTGCAAAGGTCCACCGTGGGCCCCCGGTCCCTGCAGACACCAGTGGTGAAAGCACAGTACAAAAGAATCACCAGAGACTCCAACATGAAGGTGGAAGTGTCAAGCTGAGCTACCTCTTCCCATTGGAAGCTTTTAGTTAACTCTGGAATAGGACATGATTCCGAAATGGGAAGTTAACTAAAAGCTAACTAATCTGAAATGGGGAGTTAACTGAAAGCTCACGTGATTCACTGCTAACAGGAGAGCTGTAAGCAGCAGGTGATCAATCTTTCATGTTTCTTCTAAGCCTGTGGCCAACGTGAGTCTGAGAGAGTTCCTCTTCACTTCCTCCAGTACAGTCGTGACTGGGGAAAAGGAAACTGAGACGGGAGATTGCAGAAAAGAGAAGGGATGCAGAGATCCACAGGGCCAAAGCTACACATTAGAAATATCGATGAGTTTGGGTCCAGGTTTTCCAGACACAACACACTTTTCCTGCCGTTACAGAGCAGCTGTGGGGAAAGGAATTTTTAAAGTGCATAGGGGCCCACATTTGGCTTGGGATAATGGCCCAGGAGGAAGGGCTCCCACAAAACACCACCTCTCCCCATGGTCTCTAGCCAAAACAGCCCCGAGTGGGACTAATTTGCCCCACTTTGCAGGTGCATGTGGATCGGACTTACCAAAATGTTTAATGCATAGTTTGGCCCACAGACACCCTGGGACCAAAGCCCATAAAAGTCAGAACTGTGATTAATGGCTGAAATCCTGAAGGGAAACAGCCTTACTTTTTGTGGGCTTATTCCCTGCAGTGTGATCTTATTCTTAACACAGTTTAGTGGGGCAGAAGGGTTATAGGACATGATTCTGAGCACATACCCTTTTCATAAATCTTTGATTCCCCCCCCCCAATACTATCAATATTTATTTTTAATGTATTCATTGAAATGGCAATACAGGATGGAAAAATTGAAATGTGTATCCTCCTCTAAAAAGATTTATGCTCACCTCCCATGTGAAAAGACCCTTAGTATGCCTAACCCCCTCAACATCAATTGATTTAGGACACCTTTTCATAAATCTTTGATTCCCCCCCCCCAATACTATCAATATTTATTTTTAATGTATTCATTGAAATGGCAATACAGGATGGAAAAATTGAAATGTGTATCCTCCTCTAAAACGGTTTATGCTCACCTCCCATGTGAAAAGACTCTTAGTATGCCTAACCCCCTTAACATCAATTGATTTAAGACTGGTGTGGTTGGGCATAGCATTGCAGGCATGTTGACCAAGGAACCAACACCAAAATAAACATGCAACAGACACAGAAGTTTTTTTAAAAAAATATAGAAACAAAATTCCTGTGGCTACAAAAATAATTTCCCAAAATGAGAAACCTGGTAACTACCTGGATCATCGTTGGCTTTGTCCTCATCGGCACTAATCCCTCTTTCAATTTCAAATGTTTCAAAGAGATTATTGCTCACTCCAGGTTGGCGTGGGACTGGATGGGGGGAAGCAATTCAAAAGAAATGAATGAAGCAGATAAGGCAATAGGGCAATGACTAATTTAATCTTTAATAAAATATGGAGGAAAACGCTTCCAGCATACTGCTTCTGGAAATGCAATATATTTAATGACATTTCATGTGTAACTTCATAACCATCCCATCTCCGTAATTTATGCAGTAAGATTCATCTGGTTTCTTTCGAAGGTAGGTTTTAAAGAAGCTTGACAAAAGTCTTTGACTGCTTCCCTGGACATGGTAATTGTTGTTATGTCTATATTTCAAAGTCTTAGAAAGGCTGGCTGTGCAGAGGTCTAAAGATTCCTCTAACATCTTAAGAGGCAGACTACCTTGCTTGGGCATGAGCTGTTGCAGGCAAAAAGCCCATGTTCAACATCTGTTTCAAATGCACATTGTTCCCCTGATTTCTGGGTCTGGTCGTCATCTGAAAATCCTGCACTATTGCCCTGGCTCCTTCTGCTGAGGCATTAAAATGTGTGATGAAAAACTCACCACTTCACTTGGGCATTTAATTAATTAACTCACAGGGTCTTGGTCATGGTGGGCTGCTGCTCTCAAGGGGTTCTAGCCCCTTTCCCTGAATCATACCCTATCCTATTGCTCAATACAAAGTAAGCTAGCTCCTGGTCTTCAATACAATACAAAAGCACTGGGAGGGCTTATTAATAAATAAATTTATAAATAAATAAATAAATAAAATAACTGTAGAAGAGTTCTTTGTTTGCTTCATTTATAGCCCACATTTCTCACTGAGACTCAAGGTAGATTACAAAATATTTTAAAAAAATCAATAACACAGTATAAGTCATCCAATAAACAACACTACAGAGCTAGGGTTACAGAACTGGAAAACAATGCAGACAGAAAAGGTTATGACCTACCACAAACAATCCAGAAAGTAGATTACAAAGATCGTACTATAAACATTGCAACAGACTACAGTCCTCTTCTGCTTTGCTCATTCTGTGGAATGATAGAACTGTGGTAGTCACCCAGTGGGAGCCACAGCAGAGAATGCGCAGGTATGGACAGTTTCTGATCTTACCCATTTAAGGTTGACATCCTCAGAAAGCTTTGCTCAGATGAGTGAAGCTGTTGTGGCAGAGCACAGTGAGATAAATGGGTCCACGGCCATCAATGGCTCTGTAGCTGATAACCAATATCTTGACTGAAACTAGCAACGGATCAGTAACTGACTTCAGAATGTGATATTCCTGTTCTGAGCTGCAACATTCTACACCAACTGGAGTTTCCGAGCTGAATTTAAGAGCAAAACTCATACAGATTGCATTAGAGCAGTCCATCCTTAAGGCTACTGTGACATGGTTCCACGAAGCCAGATTGGTCAGATCAAGAGGCTTTTCAGAAATGCATGGGATTGCTGGGGGAAGGAAAAGGCAGAGACATCTGCTTCCATAAACGCCTGTCTTTCACAGAACGTAGGATCCAGCATAAAGACAAAACTAATAAAACACCTAGGGTTGCCAACCTCCAGGTGGTGGCTGGAGATCACCCATTATTATGACTGATCTCCAGGTGACAGAGATCAGTTCACCTGGAGAAAATGGCTGCTTTGGCTTGATACTCTATGGCATTATACCCCACCGAGGTCTCCCTCAGTGGAACTCTGCCCTCCTCAGGCTCCACCCCCTAAATCTCAGGCTCTGGCAACCCTAAAAACAACTCTTCTGGAAGTTCAGTTATGTGTTCAGATACTGGAGAGAAGGTGTACTGATTAGGGTTGCCAGCTCTGGGCTGAGAAATATCTGGAGATTTGGGGGGGAGCCTGAGGAGGGCAGAGTTCCACTGAGGGAGACCTCGGTGGGGTATAATGCCATAGAGTATCAAGCCAAAGCAGCCATTTTCTCCAGGCAAACTGATCTCTGTTGCCTGGACATCAGTAGTAATCCCAGGATTTGGGGGGCATTCCGGGCCGTCCCTGATGCGATGACATCACCCGGAAGTGATGTCATCATGCTGGGAACATTACATGGCGACACTCTGGTTTGGGGGCAAAACTCTATGGTAAAACTGTCTTCGCTTTGTTTTATCTACTTTGTTTTAACCTACATTCTACAAATGTTTTTATTTGTAGTTATTGTGCGCTTTGCAATAAATATATGTATTTTGTTCTATGCTTTAGCTGCTCGATCTTCTAGGTTCTTGACTTGATTCTCAGATTGGTTTTTCCCCTTTTGCTGTTTCCCAACAGCAGGCAAGGGCCACAATTACCCTGACCTCTCTAAATGAATTTATTGGACAGCTATTCACATTTAGTGAGCCTTTTGTATGTATCAGCTAACCAATGTGGATCAAGAAATTTTCTCTGTGCCACCATAATTCTCAGAAAAGGGGGCGGGAAACTACTTAAAATGGTTCCTTATAGAAATGAAGCTCTTTTGTGTTCAGCCATCCTTAGAAGGATGTTCTAGCACATTATCTCTGCACCAAATTTAGGTGACAGATAAAATATACAAACTTGCTGGTGAAGAGCAGCTGTAAACTGTAGCTAAATGGATTACCACATTTGCTACAGCTGTCTTTAAAAATTCTTTTTTCAGATACCAAAAGACGTCTAGCACATCATTAGTGACAGTAGCCGTGAATTTCAGATTTGTTGTGGTTTGCAGATATTAAAGCTATGAGAATATTTGTGGCTTTGTTTAATCATCTGTAACCCTAAATAAAATTGCAATGCAAGTGTTTGAAGGAAAACCTAGAGATTATCTATGAGCTTTACATGAAATAACAGATTTTATATTACATCCCATCCCAAAGAAACAGAGCTCCTTTTCTACTAAAACTAAAAAATAGTTCTTGCTATCTTTGCCATTTCCAGACTATACCCGTTACAATAGTTGTGTTCATATAACACGACAAGCACAAGGAAAGTCTGTGCGTACGCAGGGAAGAACACATACAAAACTTTTGCTTAGAAAAAGAAAAGGTTCACACCTTTTCCAAAGCCCAGAAGCACTATTTCAAAATTCTAACTGCCTTGTTGCCATGTTTCCACATGGAGTTTCTTTCTACTAGGGTTGCCAAGCCCAGAAACAGGGTGAGACAGAGACATGGGTAGTGGCTACCACGGACAATATGACATTCCTGGAAGTGATCTCAGTCCTCTCTAGGAATTGCTGGAAACGCTACTGTCCAACTGATCAGGCTTTCACAGTATTTTTAAATTGCTTTAAAATGGCGACAACCACCACAGGTCCGACCCCTGGATGCTGATGCTGTTATGTCTCGTTTGGCTCTAATTGAAAAGGAGTGGCAATAGACTCCTTGAGACATATCCATGTAACATATACACCAGATATGCACCTTTTGCCAAGTCTCTTGAGAGAACATAACAGGAAAAGAATTCAAATAGCAATTCCTTGAAGAGTCTTGATGAACTAAGTGTCACTCCAAGGGTTTTACTGTCAGCACAGAATAATCATGTCAAGTTGTTCTGATTAGTTTGATCTATTAATGAAATGTGGAATTCAAAAACAGGTCATTTAGGTTACTGACCATTACAGCCTCTTATTATCCAACATGTCAGTTTTCTTGGTGGGAGAGGCCAAACAAACCCCAACTATGTGTTAGGTTTCTAAAAATCAACAACCTTCTATGTGAAAGCATGTGTTGGTTTGCTCTTTCCTGCCTCTTCCCTCCCAAACATGTATTTTTTTTAATCTGAAGGCAGAACCCATTAATGTTTGACCAAACCTACAATTTTCCCTTCCCAACAAATATGAAAACCACTAACAGACATCACAAAGTATCATTATATATTCACAAAAAACATGACTGGCTGATAAAGCTGGCAGAGATCACTTTTCATTTTATTTTTTATTTCAGCTTGTTAAATTCATTAAATATAATTGCAACGTTTTTATACGTGCAGTGGCTGAAGAGTGGGGGTGTGGGAGAAGATGCTAGAGCGGTAGATTAATCTCTGCAAATTTCACATACAGCACATAAAGATGTCTATAAAACTAAGGAGTGCCAAAGGGAGGGGGTGGGAACAGAACAGTTTAGGAGTTAATTAAGACCAACTTTTCACTCCATGTTTCAATCTGAATTCTTTCCAGTGGCTGAGTTTGGTTGGAGAAGACTGTGTTGTTGTTGTTTTAAATTTTATTTTATTTCATAGTCAAATACAGAGTGAACTATAACTCAGCTACGATCAGGGGTCATTTCCTGTGGGAGCGCAGGAGGCGGGCACATGCAACAAGCCTCACCCCCTGCTCCCAGAAGTCCTTGGTCGGGCCACGAGGAGCAAGAAGCAGCCAGGTAAGTTGCAGAGCCGCCCCCCGGGCCACCTTCAGGTACAAGCTCTCCCTCCTCTGTGAGGGCAGATTTGCGCGTCCCCCCCCCCATAGCTAGCAATCTATAAAATTTTATTTTACTTCATAGTCAAATACAGAGTGAACTATAACTCAGCTGCGATAATACAATAGAAAGTAAACATAGACATAAAAAGAGGTACACGGCAAGCCACCCTTTAAACAGTACGTTCCTGTACAGAGTTACATAAAATGTAGAACATCGTAGAATTTACCTGGTACATTATAGTTGTGAGGCATATCGTTGCTAAAGACATATTCCAAGAATGGAAACCATTTTAATTGGAAATTGCTACCACAGGTATTGGTATTAAAGGACAAGACCTTGTCTGACTGCTTGTCCATAGAATAGAATTCCCATGGCTTAGCAAACCATTGAGTGAGGGATGGGACTTTTTTATCCTTCCAGTTGTTGGCTATGAGTGTCTTTGTTGCGGTCAGGAATGTCGAGATCAACTCCCTCCGCTATTTGGGGATTTCTGAGTCTCTCCATAGATCCAGTAAGTATAGTTCCGGAGAGAGAGGAATGTGATAACCTGTGATGTTTCTGATGGCTTTTGAGAATTTTATCCAGAATCTCTTAACTATTGGACAGTACCGCCAGCAGTGGATGTATGATCCGTAACCACCACAGGACCTCC